GCATTAATGCTGCTGATTGAAGCAGGCACTCACATCTGAGAAATCAGATTTGCAAAGGAAGAACATGCTCATGGCCTGATGGCCAATCACAAACCAAGCACACTGATTTAGAAATTAAAGGAGATGAGAAAGGCTCCTACTGTGACAGTGCACACAATCAATATTAAAGGATTTCCATTTTCTAAAGACAGGTTGAAAGACAGTGTAGAGCGATTGACTAGAGCTGGATTCAAATCCTGACTTGGCTACAGAAACTCACTGGAGGATGGTAGTAGTAAAACCATTGCTTAAAGCTGCATGAGAATATAGGTGTGATGTTGTGCAGCAGAGCAAATCAATGTTCACCAAGGCAACTTTAAAAATGGGAGCAGACCAAACAAGAAATTATAACTCTGAAACTGGGCTTTGGATCAGCAACACATTTCGCACAGTTGTAGCAGTCAATCTTTTCTTGCTGTGTGCTACATTGGGGGAAGTTTGGAGGAAGAGTTTTCAAGTTATGATTTTTTAAATAGTTTCCCTCCTCTCATTCAGAAATAGGCCAACCAAAATGAACTCTACTCCATCTCCCCTGTTCGGTGTCTCTTTGTGAATGGCAGTGAGCACAGGAGAGTATTCTGTGCACCATCTTGACTTCTGAGAGCAGTGTCAGGCTGCCCTTTGCTATGTAAAGCCTGGCATCCTTTTCCCTGCTAGCGACACAGGCATGACACTGTACAGCAATATCAGGCCATTTCCTGGTGTTCTGAATTGAGAATACAAAAGCACAACATCCCACATTCATAAACCCGAGGTGGTTTTTGTTTTTTTGTTTTTTTGTGGGGTTCTTTTTTTAAAAAAAGAATTGAGTATCTCATATATCCTGAAAACCTTGTTAGGGTTTCAATAAGTCAGATTCTTTCTGATCCTTGAAATAATATGTAGACATTATTAGCAGCCAGTGATGGCTTTATCCTCCATGAATTCTTCTATACTCCATTTAATGCCATCATTGATGACCACCACTACATCTTACAATAACAAATTTCTTTGTTGAACATGGCAATCAGTAAGTATCTTTTCCTATTTGTATAGAACATAACATTCTGTCAGAGGTTTTGCAGTCTCACAGGCTGCTTTTATTTGACTGGGAGGGACCTTTCTGAGCTGGGCTGACTATTAATTTATCCAGTACTAACCAATTGATCCTTCCCTGCCTCGGATTTCAAAAAGAGCTCCACCTCTCTGCTCAGTGATTTTCCACTTTCTTGAGTCTACAATACTGAAGTCTGTAGGTGAAAGCATTTGTGTTTGTCAGTTAGCTGTTTGCTCTGTTCATCTGTGAGTAAATGAAGCCTTTTATTATTTCTACTACTAATGTTTCAGAGTGAGTTATTGAAACTGTGCCAGCTGATGAGAAAAAGAGGTGAACTACTCTGAGTAATTTGAAGCTATTCTGCTCTGTAAATCCCTGCACTTCTGTTGCACAGCTAGAGGAATTTAACCATAAATTTAAAACTCTTCAACACATCCAACTTCATTGGATGAATCAGTTCCACTAGTTCAAGTATTTTGCATTAGGAAAAAAGTAAAATTCCCTATTCAGTTTTTCTGCTCTTGCACACCTGTACATTGTCTCCCTTTTCTCTAAAGTAGAAATCCACAAAAATAGGACCCTCATAGGAAATCACCAATCTTCACAAAAGAAGACTCTGGGATGTGAGGCTAGTGCCTCTAAATTATAGGGCCCTCATAGGAAATCACCAAATCCTCACAAAAGAAGACATTCTTGTCTGCTCTGGGATGTGAGGCTAGTGCCTCTAAATCCAACTGGATGTGCATCAAAATTAATTCTGCTCTCTGCCATCACCTTTACATGCATTCTGCATATTCAAAGTCTTGTACAAATAGCCATCTATGTGAGAAGTACAGCATACTAAGGAAGAAGAACCTAAGGGATTTGTGGAGTGAAAGAGGTCACATGGCTTTTGAGCTTAGGCCTAATGCAGAGAAGTGAGGAGAGGATGTTGTTTTTCCTTGGAGTGCTCACAGCAGGCAGCAAGCTTTTATAGAGTTATTCATCTCTGTTACCAAGAGAGCTGAGCAGACAAATCCATCCATACCCTCTTTTGTGCACTGTACTCTACTGAGCACAACATGCTGGTGACATGGTGTGTTATATCAACTTAGAGGGAAATTATAGCACCTGAGGGTGAAGGCAGAATGCCTGAGATCGAATTTTTAGCGAGGTGCTCCTGCAAATTTGGTTGCTATGTCAGTCACCCTCTTCCTTCTCTGGAGAATGCCCTCCCCCAGGGGATCAAGACAAAGACTTCACCTCCTTCCTCTAATTCCCTGGAAATGGCAGAAATGTCAGAGTAGAAAGGAATTTCCCCATCAGTCAGAGTAGAAAGGAATTTTCCCCAGCTCGCAGGAGTTTTGTAAAACCAGCTGAAGTTTCATGTTTTTATTTTTTTTTATGCAAAAGCCTCAAAGGAACCCAGGTGCAATCATCGGCTTGCCGGGGGGGGGGGGATTTAGGGGACAAGAGAGAGCAATCTCTCATTCTGTGCTGTGTGGGGGGTGGGGAGAGGAGAAAAGAGAGTCTTGATACTTTCACCTTCTCTACCAAAAGCATATGAAGTCAAACTTGGAAAAGTTACTCCCAGAATCCTCCAGCCATAGTAGCTGATGGATTTGGGGAAATGAAGACCAAAAAAGCAACTTTTCTAGGCTCTGTTAAGAAGTGATAGAGAAGGTCTTCCATTTTACCAGTCCTCCATCTCACCAAAGGAAGGGAGGGGATTGATCTTATCGCAGTACAGACAGGACTTTTGCAGGAGTCTCTTCCATTCCTTCTGCAAAACTCAGCATGAAGTCAGAGTCTGCTCCCCTCCCTACCTCTTACCTACATTTTCTGTGCATGGGAGAGGATGGAGAAAAGTAATCGGAAACAGCTACATCGATTCAAGTACATCTTTGTCTTTATAGACAGTCCCTTAAGCTTGTTTGGTTTCTGTGTCTTTGGCCAACGCACAGAACTTCCTGCCAACTAATTCCTAGGTAGAGATGGGCACAAACATGAAAAATGAAAAAGTTGATGGTTGGCCATGGACCAACTGGAAAACCGAAACAGTTCATGGTTTGTTTCATGGTTCATGCCCAGTGGAGGGAGGGTTGCCTGCTCCTGTCATAATGCCACCATGCCACTATCGTCCTGCTCCTGCCGTAGTCATTGCCAGCATGTTGCCACTGCCGTCATCATGCCATCTTCAGTATACGGTTTCCACTTTCTCTTTATTTTCTCTTATCAGGTAGTGTGCTTCCTGTTAGTCTTTCAGCATTCCTAATCTAGGCTTACATTTTCCTTTGATTTCTTGGACTTTCTGGAAGAGATTTCTTGTTTCCCCTTTTGTTGCTCTCCCCTATTTGTTTGTGCTGGGTATTGTAATACTGTAGTTCTCTTTGTCTCTGTATGACATTTGCTGAAAAGCTGCATTCAGGGTTCTGACCCTATTTCTGTCAGCTTTTACTTTTGCTTCTCACTTGTCTTTTGCAATTTTAAGGGGTAGCTAATAATACAGAAGACAGATCAGGATTCAGGATTACCTTAGTACATAGAAGAACTGGGCATAAACACACAAAGGGAGTTTCAACAGGGGAAAATCCAAAATTCTATGTTTAGATTGGAAAACCAGATGCATTAATGATGGGCAACTAGTGGCAGTAGTGGATATGAAAAGGATCTAGGGGTCTTAGTAGATACAAACTATATGTGGATCAGTAGTGCAATGTAGCAGTAAAAACAAGTAAAGCAAGACTAGTGTATCCACAGAAGAATAGCAATGCTGTCACGTGACTCTGTTTTGGTCAGACGTTGCTTGGAATATTGTGTCCAGTTCTGGGTGCCACAACTGAAGATGGATATCAACAAGCTGGAGAAGGGTAACCAATGAAAGGTCTGGACTCAGAGGTTGTATTTTAGTCATTTTAAACATCTGGAGAGCACTTAGGTGGGAGGAGGCACAAGCTTGTTTTCTGTGGCTCCAGAAGTTAGGACATGAAATAATAGATTCAAGGAGGAACGAGAAAGAACGTCTTGGTGGTAACTGCTACTTGGCAGTGGAATGGACTGCCCTAGAGGGTGATGGATGATCCTTCACTGGAGGTTTTTAAACAGAGATTGGGTAGCCATCTCTTGAGAATGCTTTAGCTGTGGATTTCCTGCTTCAGCAGTAACTGAGATTCAGTGACGCTTGGGTATCCTTGCACCTGCCCAGCAAACCTGGCTGAACTATTGAGAAAAATATGTTTACCTTGCAACATTTCATCCTAACTATTTTTTGCAGGTACAGTAAATTATGGGATCTGATGACAAGGCTACAGGAAATAAGTGAAATTATGTTCTGCATATTTTCCAAACAGATTCAAGTTGCTGTTTCCTTAATTGGCTATGTAACTGGGGTAAGAAAAATTGACCTAGAATAGCAAGCCATTGAAGTAGATCTTCAAAGTAGCATTGATGCAGAAAGGGTAAAGAAATGACGAAAAACTTTACTGTGCCATGTTGTGCAGCTGTACATAGATAGATGAGACTCTGAGAAAAGGTGTACCTCAAAATTTTTGGGAAAGAGTAGAAGAGGTTCATTAGTCAATTAGATGATGGTTTTCTGGACACAGCTTGGAGGTGACTAGTTGCAAATAAATGGTTTATTATTATCAATTCCTTTTTCAAAAAACAAAAATATTACAAGTATATCTTAACAAGGGATAATTTCACTTTCGAGAAGCTGGAAAGTAAAGAGGTTGTTCAAAGTGTTACTTTAAAATTATCACTATAAGGAAACAAACTAATCCAGGGGATTGGAGCTGTACTTTAAAAGTTTGCCATGTGAATTACACTTACATGTATTCATAAATTAATGGTATATAAAGCCAAGGAATGGACCGTTTGTTTCTGTTGCAGAGTGAACTTGCCTCTCCCTCTCAATTATTCCTTAAGAAAACATGTCTGTCTTTACCTTCAGTACGAACACTGGTTTTTTCCCTCCTCTTTCTCCACCGCTCCCACTGTCTTCAGATGTTTGTAGGAGGCTATGTTGAATCATCTTGCAAATTCATCTGATCAAAACATTTGTTCAGGAGATGGCCCAGTAGATTTGTGTCATCACGAAGTCACACAAAACATGGGGAAGTATAGGCCTAAGCACAGGAGAATGGGGAGTAGTGGTGAGGGGGCTCAAATGACTAAATAAGCCAAATGAAACCAGCTTCCAATCCTTTTTCCTTGAATGCCCCTCTGGATTTCACTACAACTCCTGGGTGAACTGCCTGTAATTACTGTGACTTTTCAGGCAAGGCCCTTGAATCCTGCAAATAAGCCTATAGGGTGTAATATACTTTGTATCAGAGAACAAATGTCTGAGTCATGGGTCAAGAAGATCTGTGAATTCTTATTGCACTTAGCTAAATCAAAGACACAGAATTAGATTAGAATCAATATTGCATATTGCAGCAAAAATGACAAGGAATACTTTGTCATCTGTGCTACAATACAATAATAATGTAAGTCATTCATGCATAAGAAAGTCAATTCCATCAAGAATCAATTCCTTTAAAGGATAAGAACAGAGCCTACAGTTTACCTATGATCCTCTTGCTTCTCAAAGAAGCAGATGGCAAACACACATGTCTTAAATGTGTCTTAAATGTCACTGCACACTAAAATCTGCCACGTTACACACACATACACACACACACATGCATATATGTTCATATGTATGTAAACAACACTGGCATTTGTAGGAAAGGGTGATATTTGTAGGGTAGCATAAGAATTGAGAGGTATTCCACAACCTCTTCAGCTAAAAAGCTGCATGGAGGGTGGCAGAGTTGCACGGAGGCAGGTGCAGACCTTAGGGAACCTTGAACACATCCATTTTGCACCTCCTGAAACTTCTTGTGAGATAAAGCATTCTGTGCTCCAGAAATTCACACACTTGTGAGACTAGTACTATGTTTCAGAAAAATAAAACTTGCACAAATTATATTTATTAGTTTTACAATAGAAGCACCTAAATACTGTATATGTATAGCTGAAAAGGCACAACATGCATACGTAAAAATGCATACATAGGAAAAGTTGCTACCAAAGCATGCATACATTTTTATGTTGGGGCTGAGAAGGTTTTGCAACACAGTAAGAAGTGCAGTAAGATGTGTATTGCAGTGAGGTTCGGAGAAACAATATAGAACTCGAACTGACAGATGTTTACATACCTAGATTTGCTTATATGAAATATGTAGCACATGTCAAAAGCAAAACTATTTTGGAGCCATAGCAATATCTCTGCATAGAAAGGGGCATTCTGGACTTTTGCTGAAGCAATGGTGGCTAAAGTCCTTAAGCAGCTAATAAAGAGGCCCCTACCATGAATGAGAAGACCAACCAATACTACATATAAATTGGCCTGAACTACAGCTGCATGGTACACATACAACTGCGATATTCTGTATCTGGAGTGGGGGCCATACACTAATGAAAAGCTGAAGTCTATTAATGTTCCAAAAGGTAATTGCAGCAGACCCTCATGACTGAGCAATCATCTTGGATCGCTCAGTGGTTTAGGTATCTGGCTGCGGAGTCAGAGGTTGGGGGTATGATTCCCTGCTGTACCTCCTTATAGGGGCTGGACTCGATGATCCATAGGGTCCCTTCCAGCTCTGCATTTGTAAGATTATTATTAAGATTACATTTACTATTTACAAATGAAAACTATGTTTATCCATCATTCAGCATTACAAAAAGATTGTGCTGTGATAATCAGATGTTTTCTGTACTTAACGAATGTCCTTTTCTAATGAATGTTTGTTTGCAACATAGAGTTGGCCTTGAGAATCCTTCTGTTATATGACAAACGGAAGAAAAGCGAAAGACAATTTACACTTGAACTTCAATAAGTTTATAGAAGCCCAGGTGCTCTGAGCTTCTGATACCTCAAAAACGGCATAGTATTGGAGGAGACCGGTTGTCAGTAAAATCATGTGGAATTCTTGATTATTTTTATGCTTGCAACAAATCTGTGAGCACCAAACATATTTTAAGGTACCATAAAAATAATCACCCATTCTGGGGACTGATTGCTTAATATGTTTTTAGTTTGATTGTACAAGTACTAACCGAAGTAGAGCAGCTTCTTTAAATCAACAAGACTTGCATAAGTGTTGATTTAATGATTCTCATTCATTTAGTGAATGTTTCCAGGATTTTAGGTTTGGAGTACTTAGAAGCGATTTATCATTCCCTCCTTCTGGGGGGCACCCTAGGGCTGCGCAGGTTGCCCAAGGCTATACAGGCTGAGTCTTCTTTTAGAAGGCATAGCAAAGCACTGAACTCCAAACCTCTGGCACCAGGTACTCCATCCCATTGAACTATCCAGCCAGCATTGTTTCTTATGTTTGTTTTATTTTATTTAACTACAGTCCCCATAATTTATCACTAATAGCTATGGATTTGGATTGAAAACCTTTCCTGTATGCACAACAAGGTTGCTTTAAGGGAAATTGCTTCCAGCAAAGCAACCCTTTCCAGCATGATCAGACATGATTAGCGATGAGCAACAACTGCTGGTTGGGCGTTCATGCCAGTTGGTTTATTGCTTGAACAGGTGTCAGCGCTTCTGAGTCCTGCCTCCTCCAGAGGGTGCCCACTCAGAGGCAGCATTCCAGCTTCCCTGCCCCGCCTCCTCCAGGTGCTGCCTCTAAGTGGCTGCCTGATAGAGGAGGTGGAGCTCAGAAGCAGCGAACACCTGTTAAGGCGATAAACAAACTGGCATGAATTTCCAAAGCAGTGGTTTGTGCCCATCTGTAGACGTGATTCTTTATCACTGTCTGATTGCACCCTTGCATTATTGATCCATCTAGCATAATGCTCTTTATCCCTGTATCTCAGACAGTCTTTTCTAGTGTTGATTCTACCTCTAGTATGAGCCTCGTGGTGCAGTGGTTAAACCGTTGTACTGCAGCCAAAACTGTGCTCATGACTTGGGGTTCAATCCCAGGTAGCCGGCTCAAGGTTGACTCAGCCTTCTATCCTTCCGAGGTTGGTAGAAGGAGTACCCAGCTCGCTGGGCGGGGGGGGCAATGTGTAGCCTGCATAATTAACTTGTGAACCGCCCAGAGAGTGCTTGAAGCACTATGGGGCGGTATGTAAGCAGCACGCTTTGCTCTACACTAATAGCCTTTTGAAATTTCATCCTGTTTATTGGAAAAGATATTGTGGAGCCATTTTACCAAATTTCTCCAGGGGAAGGGAAAATTCTAATAGTTTCTTACAGGTGGATTGTCAGCTTGCAGTTTTTACAGCCCTTCTTTGTTCTTCCTCCCCCCT